CAGTCAGACATCCACTGAGGCATGCCTCTTTGGGAACTTTGGTTTTCTAGTTTACACTGCTTAAGGGTGCAGCTAATTATTCATTTTTCGCCAGTCGTCAGCTAATAATGTTCTTGATTGTTGGTTAATTTGCTGTGGTCCTATACCATGGTCAGAAAACAGTTTGAAAAAAGCCGCAAATATATATATTATATATATATATATAAAAATTAATATATTATGAAATCGTCAGATTGGGATAAACTGGAATCAGGGGATGTAAAAAAAATATTTTTAACAATTAATTGAATACTTTTTTTATGTTAGTTGACTAATTGATTAACCAACTAATTGTTGCAGCTCAGAGACAGTAAAAACTAAAATCACTGATATTATTGTTCGTTATTATATTATATATTATTAGTATTATTATTGCTATAGTTATGGTTGTTACTGTTTGTCCCACTGCTCGCTGGGTCCCCCATCGTTGCTGCTGTCCATGGTCATCGTCTTATTTCATGATCGGTCATCGGTCACCTAATTTAATGTTAGTTATTGGCTACTTTTGTTCCTGTACATCTGTTGTCTCTCTGTGTTTCTCTCTCTCTCTCTCTCTCTCTTCTCTCTGTTTCTCTCTTCTATCTCTCTTCTCATCTCTTTCTCTTTCTCTGTCTTTCCCCCCAACTGGGTCAAAAAAACAAATTCATAGGCAGGATGACCATCCCCTAGGAGCCGAAGGGTCTGTCCTAGCTTTCTGCCTGTTAAAAGGCGGTTTTTCCTTTTCCCCCGTCCCAATGCTTGCTCACGGTGGTACTGTTGGGGTCTCTGTAATGTCCTGAGATCTTTGTTATGAATAGTACAAATAAAATTGAAGTGAATTCAATTGAATAAACAGTTTTCTTCTTAACGGGATAGTTCAGGTTTTCCAATTGGGTTGTATGAGGTTCTTTTCCATAGTCAGTGTATTACCTATAGTACATGGCAGTCGACGCGACCCCAGTTTGGAGGGGCAGACTAGAGTACCAGTACAGAAGCAGAGCTGTGGACGGGGGCTGCAGAAAAATGAATTTTAGCCACATAAAAAGGCCCACTTCAGAAAAATCAATATTGGTCTAAGATTACCTTTATATTGCCTTTATATTTTCACCGCTTTGCCCTGACGTCAGACGTTCCTTTCTGGTGGGAAACTGAAGCTGTTATGCTCTCTTCAAAGCCACCAGACTGCTTTGACATCAGTTTCAGACTGACAGCAAGGCAAATTGGGGAAACTAGTCTGAATATAGCGTACATGTAAACCAATATAATTTTTTTTTAGCTAAAATAAATGTTTCCATCCACAACAATACATTGCTTGGTTTCCATGCTAGTACTATTGGTTGCTTCTCCAAACTGAGGGCATACGGATAAGTACCTCATACAACCCCACTTAAAAAAAATCCAACTATCCCTTTAAGTTTTCTATATCAGGTTGTCTACACAGGTAATACTTTTTAGCTGGACATGTTTTATTTTTGTCTGTGGTCTCTTCAGTGTATTTTTAGTAGCTAAAAGTAATGCCACCATTACCCTCGATGTGCTCCTTGTCTTACTTTCCTAATTCATCGTCTTCCCTCCTCAGTGTTAAAACTGTAGGTCTGTTCCCACGACGGTGTTTGACATGTGAGCTAAATAAAGCGCACTGTCTGTACTTCGATGCTGACATCAGCCCCACAAACCAGCACATCATCCTCCACTGTAAAGGTAGGCCATCAAATATCCTGATTTAAGGCTCCTCCAGTGTCTACTTTTACATTTCTAGTGAAGTGGCAGTTAAGAGCTGCATTTCAGCTGCCATAATAACACATATTTCCAGGAAAAATTGACTATGAGGGTGCAGGTATAATTACAAGAATGATTTTGCGAAATTGTTCACTGACTTGTTCAAAAGTGTGCATGACTTAGAAAACACCGCAGTATGAAGGAAGTTACCAACCACTATAAAATTGTAGCAGTCTTCACCCAAGAGCCTTCCTCAGTAGAGTGAGAATAACAGGCACCTATGATATCTTTCTGCTAACTGTTACAACCTACATGCTAACAAAGTCATATGCAGTTTGGCATGAATTGCCAATATTGTGGGGAGTACCAGAATTAGCTAGTAGTGTAAATAATTACTGTTGGCAGGGAGAATTAAGTCAAGTAATAATATTGCTTTTGAAAAGAGTGATGAATAATATATTAAATGTTTTGAGTAACTAGCCCAACACCGCATACAAACTCTACAATCTGGCAGTGTGTAAATGGGCCTGTATATATTCTGCAATGAGGGAAATGGGGTCGAGGTGAGCAGGTGGGCGGGGAGACGGTGAGGTGATGGCAGGAAAGAGGTGACTGCAGGGCAGGAGGGAGTGGCTGGATCTGAAATGACAGTATGTGACAGGGACAGTGGAGCAGACAGCACAATGAATACTAGGAGCTGGCAATCGTTACAGCAATCCTATTTTCCAACTTGTTTTGGATCATAATAATGTATTAGATTAAAGCAGACTCACAGTAGTCACGGTTACTTCTTCCCAGAAAGTAAAATAATATGAATTCCAACTGAGGTTACATTTCGGCATACAGCTTTTCTTTGTGAGATCCATAAAGATATAAATGTGTTCATCTAAACACACTGGAGTGCATTAAACTTTGCACTAAAGCTTTTACCTTTGAGTTAAAGTTCTCTGTACTATAAAAGACACACAACTGCAGATAGTTGCAGGTAGCGTATTAAAAAACTCTTAGAATCTGGGGATTATAAAGTTTTTTATGTGTTTTAATTGATTCATCTGGTAGATGTCAGGGTTTCCCATTGTAATATGTCACCCTCCAACTATTCAGTTTTAAATGAATCTCTCATCAATTCCAAATGAGAGGCATAAAATTAAAATAATTAGCCACAGTATTTTGTATAATTACCTTTAGGTAGCGTTATTGGGAAACAAATAGCTTATTTAATAGAGGGCAACTCTTTATATTGTTTGTGGTTTCAATTTATTTCGAGCAGATGAAAACACTTCATGCTCTTGGCATTTGGTGGGGTGATTTATTGGACAATAACACTGTTCCCTTTCCCAAAAGCAATAAAAATAATGGAGAAAGCTTGTTGTCTTTAGAGGGCCAAGTTCACATAACCTCAGCAAGTTTGTCCTGACACCTGATTTCATCAGGAGCAACACAAGCCTTTTAATTCTACTCATAAAATGCTTTTGATTAGTTTAGTGTTTTCAAGCAGGTACATGCACATAATGAAACCATTTTTCTGTGTGATATGAGCAAGTGTAGTGAAGAATGCAAAGGTCAAAGCTTATACAGCTTATACCAACAGTAAGTGCAAGTGTAGAAATAAAGTAAGAGCTATGGTTTGTGTTTTAGAGCAAAGAAAGTAGAGCAGGAGGAATGTGGTTGTGGTGTAGTGTGTTTTGCAGCTGCCGAGGGAGCATTTCAGCCGCAGCTGAGCCATTGAGCAAACCTGCCATCCTATTAACCTCTGACTAAGTATTTTGCAAAAGGACATTGAAAAGAACTGACTTAATTTGACAGTCTGAGGCTATTAGGGAGCCAGTGTGAGTGACCTTTAACCCCTAATTGATACAGGTAAGGAAGGGAAGGTGAGAAGCAAAATAGAGAAAACAAGACAGCTGCCTGCATTTGATTTTGTGTAGCTGCTTTAGTGGAGCATGTAGAAAATACCATTTACGATGTCATGTTATTATGTTGGTTTGAAGAATACCAAAGTTTTTACTTGGAAATGTAAAATTGTCCGTCAATATCTATGCAAAGCACACTTAACTCTTGCGTGAGGATTATAGAGTGACAGGATAATGTTTAAATTGCACTCACAAGTGTTTTTTTCCTTTTAGGTCCTGGAGCACCAACTGTGATCTTACACAGCCTCAATAATTCAAGTAAGGAATTCCTTTAGTCTTATGGGAATTTCGTTTTTTTTTTTCAACCTTGCGAATTTTCCATCAATTTGGCTATTGTCGCTTTATGTTTTATGATAACTTTGCACTCGCCACCTCCAGTGTGTGAACGATGCCATGGCTTTTGGGGGACCTCACTTTTTTTGAACTGTAAGAGGGCTGATACACTATTGAATAAAAAATGGACACAGATCAAAGAGACAGTCAAATGGCAAAAGATGTGGAGCAATACATCAAAAACAGACCACGGTTAGACGGTTAAAGTTTGCCATCAAGATATCAAATGCAAGGAGAAACACAGAAGTTTATAATATTGTCTCGACTGCCACACTCGGTAATGGCAAGAATATGAATTCTGGAATCTTTATTAAAGTGAATTAGTGATCACTAATAAATCCCCCTGATTCATGAATTACACATCAATAATAGCCAAATTTTATGCATGAACGATGGTGATAAAGATAGAGAAAAGAAATGCATGGCAAAAATAGTATATCATCAATCTTTTAGAGACCACCCAAAATTTCACAGATTGTCAGGGGAGCTCATATCTTACTGAGAGGAGCTCCCCCCTGTCTCCCCAGTAGTTCCCACCCATTATTCAGTGATTTCACGCTGAGCAGCTAACTATAATTATCTAATTTCATCCAATTGTCCGATTCTCACATTGTTTAGTTTTTTATTCTTTGGTGACTTTTTTACTTAGTTTGCGTCTTGTTCATCATTGAAACAATTAACACTGTGAGGGAGACCAGACAAGAGACCACTGCGATACTCCACTCTGCTGGAGACAAGGGGATAAGAGAGTTTCTCTCAGTCTTGTCTGCACACAAAACCTCTAATTCTCAGTTTTCGAGTATAAATGGATGATTTAGTGATTGCCTTAATGGGGTTGCAGAAGCCAAGGTTTGAGTCTATTGAAAAGTACTCAAGGCAAAACTTGAATGGTGGTTGATGAGTTTTCCTTTTTGAAGCTGTCTTGCTATCAGAGCCAACAGCATGAGAAGAAAAGACCGCATGAGCTTCATCTCGTTTTCAGTTGATTCTGGTCAACAGGGGGTCTTACAAATCTAGATTTCTTCCCTTTACAACTTTCTTTCTTCTTCCTTTCCCACAGGCGTGGATCAAGACACAGGCTATACACACATACACACACATTATTGCATTCACTCTCAGCACACACACTCACACACACACCTACTGTACACACATGCTTCTTCTTGTTATCCGTGCCCTGTATGTCTATCAGTATTTTTTTTCCCCCGAAAAAAGTTAACAGCTGTGCTGCAGAAAAGCAAGCAATTTGCCCAGGGTTATTTGGATAGGCCCTCCATCCACAGCTGGGAACTTGAGGCCTCTGGCGGTTTCATAATGAGACGTCTATTGATTCTGGGTTTTCCATTAGAAATGCTGGATGAATTCCATTTCATTTAGCTGCTTCTCAGATGGCTTGAATGAAAAATGGCCAAACCAGAGAGTCATTGTTTATTACATGTGGAGAAAATAGCGGGGCTCTTGTTTTTGAGACCAGGACGAGCAAGCTGCCGTTCAGAAATTGAACCTTTTTTTTAAAGTTTTTTGTGCTCATCAAATTTAACTGTAGTACTGAATTGTTATGGTTTGAATTGAGGTCAGAGGGAAATTATTTGTTTCCTTTCCCAAATAACAAACTGTATCCAGCTTTTGAGATTTTTTTTTGTCAGTGACATGATTCACAAACTCTTCTTTTTGATTTAAAAGCTGGAAACACGTGTACCTTTTGTCATATTAATCAATCTCATAATTTAAAACTGCCTCCATTATTTGCAACAGATAAGCCCAACATAGATGAAATCCTGGAATGTGTTTAGCTTCCCGAACCCTTTTACGTTTACCACAAAATCAAACAATGTCACAAACGATCCATGATATTCAGATCTTATCCGTCTTACCTACACTTCCCATCTCATCTCCTTATATCACTGGCTCGAAAGACAAATCCTGACGTCATTAGGGGTCTTTTGTATGCAGCAGCACTTCGATTATTGGCAGCAATTTTTGGACTCATCCTTTAAACACAATCCTCTCATCCTTACAGATTACTACATCCTTGAGAACAACTCTTTGCTAAAGGCAGCCTTGAAGTACAAAAGGATCCAGCTGATGGACTTCAGGACTGTACCGATGGAACATTTTGGTGAGAATCAAGTACTGGTTTCTATACTGTACTGTGAACCACAAATGAATTGGTGTTACAGTTGCTTTTGTTGTTCTTGTTGTTGTTGTTTTCACAGATTTACCTTTGAAGATCTCCTACCCACCAGACTTCTCTGATTCCCGTCACTATGGACTACTGCTGCTGGTGTATGTACCATACCGCAGGATGTGTCAGAAATGTATACTGCATGATAAACTGACTGATACACCCTGTGGTCCACCCTTTTATCCAAGCAGCAATACAGAGCAGAAAATATATGTGTGTTTAATGTTTGAGGCCGCAGTTGTAATCAAACTCCTGACAATAGTGACATTTGCATACAGACTAGGCCATGTTATGTAAATCACATGGTACCTTTGCAGCACCCTGTGATTGAATAATAAACCAGTAAAAAGAAAATTCCAAACTGAAAGAAAGCTGTTTTAGAAGAACAAGAGTTTAATACAGCAGTTTAATTTTGCGAATTGGGATTCCCTAAGTGTTCCTTATTTTTATATGTCTGTGCAGTGACAGTGCCCCTGGTGGTCAGGCTGTGAGTGACCGCTTCTCTCTCAGCTGGGACTCTGTGCTGGTCAGCTCAGACAGCGTCATCGTTGCTCGTCTAGACGGCCGGGGCAGCGGCTTCCAGGGTCAGAGGATCCTGCACGAGGTTCACCAGAGACTGGGAACTGTTGATGTTCAGGACCAGATTGCAGCAGTAGAGTACGTTGTCAGATTCACTTTATTCCATTTCAAACTTTTTTGTGCTTTCAATTGACAAATTTAATGAAATCCTCTTCGTACAAGTAAATCCCCTGCAGAGATTCATAACTGTCACATACATGCTGACTCTTTCGTCTAATTAAAGTCTGGTAAAACCGTTTGTTCCAAAGTTAAAGATAAAAGTACAAAATCCTTCCCTTTTACCCTTAAACTTATAATATAAGTTCATTATCATTTTCCTTTTGACAAAAGAATACATTTTAGAGCTCGAGAGGTTTCTTAAGTTCCTAAGTAAGGGCCCACATGTACAGACACAGAGGACAAGACATCTTTTGGAAAGAGCTTTTGAATATATCACCTGATCTACATCAGCAGATTTGAGTTTTCTCATTTGTCATGGGATTGTAGATGTTGATGAAGTACATGTGTTAGGGATAGAAGCTCCAGAAAAGCTACTTGAGGTGAAATTGTTTTGTCAACTGCTGCTTTAACATCATGTTTTGGAGAATCTACAGGATAAACAATATGTTTTCTGAAGCAATATAATAATGGAGGTTTTATGGCTTGCAGCTGATGCTTTCTTATTTCCAAACAAAGATTTTACTGAAAGTTACACAGCTGCTTCTTCATTCTCTGGAGATGCATACAAGAGGAATAAAGCTGGCATTGATTTTGATTGCAGTTTCTTTCCATTGTCTGCACTTGTCAATGTGGCACTAGATTCCCCTTATTATATGTTCTCTCTGCTATGATGTTCCTCATCTACCAGCAGGAAAGTGTTTCTCCCTGCTCCCGTTTGTTGTTTTTTTTTTAATTTCCAGACAATTTTCAGCCAGTTTCCTTTTATTTCACAGATTAAGTATTGTTCATTTCACTCGTTAATTGCTACTCCACAAAATGATTCCACACGGATAAAAGTTAATTTAAACATATCAAATTTATACAGGCTTTTGCAAAATACTGCATAACTGAAATGTGAGGATTTCACAGAATGAACAGATGTGTGGCAGGAGTAGAAGCAGATGTAGGTTAAACCTTGTGTGCTATTAGCTGGATGTAAATGTGAGAGCTGCTCTTAAAGGTCAAGTTGGCTCTTCAGGGAATTCTGGGGAGAAATCCTCAAACCAAGGTTTACTGGTTTACTGGTAATGCTTAACCTCAAGCTTGTTGTCGGAAGGATTACATCGACCTCATGAAACTACTTGTGTTTATTACTTTGCATTCATTAGCAAATATTACTGATATGACCACAACAATCTTTGGTATTGATTTTTTTTCAACCAGATGATTGGCACACAAGCAGTTCTTCACTTATCCTCCATTATTCCACCAGATGTGACTGGGAAAATATTTGTGACACAACTTCTCTACTTTAAGGTCAAATATACAGTAAATAATTAGATATGAAAATAATAAAACAAGTATAATGACATTGATAGATAAAAGTAAAAGTATCAATATTAGCTCCTGTGAAAATCAATCATGCCTGATCTATAACATTCTGCTCTTCTGAAGTTTCAGATTATATTAACATAAATATGAACCATAGCTCATATGGTATGTGTTTTCTTTTCCAGATACATGATGAAATTTCCATATATTGATCGGACACGGATAGCGGTGTTTGGAAAGGTGAGCCCATGTTCTCGTCTATAATTAGATATATATATATTCAATCTCTGAGCTATTTTTACCATATGCATATTGCATGTTGCTGCTGCTGAGAAAATCCATGTTGAGTATACTGTATGAATCAATAGGCTTTTCAAAAATATATACTTGTTTACTCATTGCCAAAATTATGTATTATTTTTTTTAGTTTCACAAAAGTAGGTCATTTTTATAATTATAATTTTGTTTTAAAGGACCAGTGTGTAGGATTAAGTGGCAATTGGCAAATAACTGAATACCGCTTGCATCTGTATTTGACGGCCTGGGATTGAGAAGTGAAGGCTGTGAACTGTGTAGGAGAAACTACAATACAATACTTGTGAAAGGCCCAATCTACAGCCAGTCTTTGGTTTGTCCACTGTAGATAAATACCGGCTAATTCTGAAGTAACGAAACACAACAATTCCTATATTCAAGTGATTATTTACTAATAGAAATATGAATATTTCTGCCAATGGATCCTCCTAAATGTTACACACTGGACCTTCAATAGGCTATTTTCTTACATTTCTAGTGAATGACTCTTATGATTTAATTTGAGTTTATTTTTTTATGGTTTTTTATCTTTAAGTATTTAACCATTGAAGTTGCATGAATGTCTATGTTTGTCTGTTCAGGGTTATGGAGCGTACATTACGTTAATGATGCTTAAGTCTACTGACAGCCTCTTCAAATGTGCTTGTGCAATGTCACCAGTGACAGACTGGAAACTCTATGGTGAGTACAAAAACCCCTCCGTAAATCCTGCATCATGGTGAATTTAAACTTCAAACAAAGCCTTCCCTCTTCATAGCTGCCATCTGGCAAGTCAAGTATAAGTACAACTTTCAAGTATAAAAATTGATACAACATTTGTGTGGAGGCAGAGAGTATAATATGGAATTTCTTTGTGCAAAGCCTTTGCCCATAAAGAACCTGTTTACCACTGACCAAAAAGTGAGATGAATTTGATCCTACAGCACTATAGCTAAAGACCAGAGTAAAGAGTCCTTTACAGTCTTAAGCTGACACAGAGGATCCTTTCACCTACACAAGGTGTCATTACCTCCGCACTGACAGCATGTCATTTGGGCACAGGAGGACAGGAACTCCACTTTGTTTAAGTACTTAGCTGCAGCTGAAGCACTGTGTACCGGCGGCACTGCTAAGAATTTATCACTTCTCATTTGCACAGCATCAGCGTTCTCTGAGAGATACCTTGGCATGCCATTACGGGATGACAGCAGATATCAGGTGCGTGTTTACTACCTCCCCTCACTTGTTTGCCGTTGATCTTTGAAAGCAGCTTGCCGTAACATCACTGACACACCTACAGTTAAGCTCCTACAGTTGCTGAATGCGGCTATCAAAGGCAAAGGCAGCGATGCTTTGCCTTTTCTTGTGTCTTTTCATGCTCTGTAGGATTTTGTCACTCATCTCTCTTTGGTAACTGTGTGCACCAGTGTGTCAGATCACATACCGGAGGTTTTTTATAAGCTGCTGCAAAATGGGTTGCCTGGCTCTCTCAGGCCTCCCGCACAGACAAGATGTTGAGCTATCAGAGGTGTTTTCCACAATGATAAAAAAGAGGGAGTGGGGGAGAACAAAACTCGTTTTTGCAAGCACATTGTAAACAACCAAACAACAAATCTGTCCCAAAGAAGTAATTCACTGCTTTCAGTATTCTGCAGCTTTGCATTTCCTGTATGCAGACTTGATTTTACATCTTTTTCCTCACAATTGGTTCAAATGGTTATATTCCAAGCATAGAAAATAGTGTCAATGGGAGATACTTTATCACTAGATCTCTAATTGGATTAAATGAATGTGTCTGCGTGTGTGTCTGTGTGTGTGCATGTAATCAGGATATAATGTAATTTACCACAGTGCCTTTCATTCCATCATACTTTGTATGTTTTTATTGCCTTCCTCAATGCCACTTAGCACATCTATCAACCTATTATCTCATCACATTTCTGATTTCCTCGCAGTTTTCCAGTGTGCTGCAGAACGTTCAAGCACTTAGGGAGCAGACACTGATGCTGGTGCACGGCACAGCGGATGGTAAGAGAAAATAAATTGTGACAGAATGAAAATACTGTATCTGTGGTGCATCACTGCTAAGCACAAAGAAGCATGCAATCCTGGGAGGTAATGAGGCAAATGGTTTTTAATCAAAAGATAAAAGAAAACTGGGTTATCTTAATGGATGCTGGGATTTCCAGAGGAAAACATTCGCTGCTGAATCATGCATGTCGAATTTGTTGAGATATTTCCATCCTTCTAGAATCTGATTGTCTCTTCTTTTTCCCAGTTAGGTTTCAGGCTGAAACTTGCTGACATGTTTCGTTTTCTTTATTCCCAGCCAACATCCACTTTCAGCATACTGCTGAGCTCGTCAAGAACCTTGTGAAAGTTGGAGCAAACTACTCAATGCAGGTGTGTATCGCAGAGATAGCAACACCAAGGCACATTCTTTATACTGCATTTGTAAAAACAGTGATGAAATGCACATTTTGTATAATGCCACGGCAACACATACAAAATCATGTAAATAATACATTTAGATTTGAAGTGTTTACAGATTCCAGAGCCAGACCTGCCAAATAATATGTGCACTGCTCCTGTGGTGTCAGATTTTACCTTATAGCTCAGGACAATTACCACAGTCGCCAGACTGTAAAGAAACATGGATATTTGTATTAGTGTTACACGTCTCTCTCTTATAAACTAAACTACACTAACCACTAAATGTCCACTGTCCAAGTATTATATTAAGGTTTTTTGAGCCAGCATCTCTTGTTGATTAAAACAAATATTAGATTTAACCTGTGTTAAACCTTTTTGCTTACCTTTTCTGGTCTCCGTCAGCTCTTAAGGGAAATATCTATTTCTGTAGCTTCTAAATGCTAGTTTGTCTTTTTGCTGTGCAGGTCGTGTACAGTTTATAGAGCTTTTAAGCTGGAAACGAGGCTATGAGAGTGGTAAGAGTGAACAAAGACATCAAGGTTGCGGGCTGTGAAACCAAAACAATGAGCTGAAAGACGCTACAACACTAGATGTCAAAGTTGAAGGGAACTCCAGATTTGGGTCATAATTCTCCTCGTCAGTACGAGCAATACCTTTTACATTACTCATACTCATTAGTCATTTAATCTTTTGTCATTATAAAGATAATGATCAGAGCAGCTTTAAAGAAACAATCTGTAGAATTTCAGCACCCCCCAGTGGTAGTATCTAAAAAGACACTGCCCAGACAGCAGCAGTGCACATCCCTTACCAACACCATTCCCCTTTTCGCCCCCTGAGTTATTCAGTTAGTGTTAGATACAAAAGACTTCAAAGTCCTGTGGAGGTTATTTGTACAGAGGCCGACCCTGTATGTCTACAAACCTCCGTCCATTAATTTACTTACCGTTTACCCACCAGATCTACCCAGACGAGGGCCATTTCCTGTCTCAACAGAGTCGCCAGCACCTCTATGCCACACTGACCAGCTTCTACAGGGAGTGTCTGAAGGAGGAATTACTACCGCTGCCTGATGAGGAAGAGGAGGAGGAGGAGTAGGCAGGAGGCTTCGAGGGTCAGACCTTTGGCAGAGCTTGAAGAATTTAGCTAAAATCCGTCAAGGCCTTTCGTGTTTTGGACCAAGTGTTTCGCCGGACATGGAGACTGGGTTAGAGCTGTCAAAGCTCTAAAAGTGTGTGTGTGTGTGCCTGTGTGTGTGTGTATGTGAGCACTCCAGTGTTTGACTGTGTATGCCGGTGTATAAATGTGTTGAAAAGATAACTGAAGGACACGACAGTGACACTTGCATTGCTGGGACTTGAGACGGGAACTGCCCTCTAGCATAAAGTCATTTCAGTTTCGGGACGCTCCGTTTCTCGTCAAAGCGCACGGAAGACTGCCTCCATCTTTTGCAGGCTCTCTGGGCTGTAGTCATCCACACTTACCAAGTGCATGGTTCTTTTTGTCCTCTCGGCTTCACTCATTTTGCCATGTTAGTCTCCTTTGTGGTAGCACTTGGGAAGAAAAGAACACAGATGTACACTTTTGATCTCACCTCTCCTTTGGTTGTTGTATTGTTGCACAAGGAAATGCTCCAGCCATCTGCGAAATGTTAAGTCACGCAACTTCACCACAACAGAGCCGATCCTGAATAAGTGCTATTTCCTGCTGAAAACCCTCCGCCATTGCCCACCCTAAATGAAAACAGTCTTTATAGGTCACACTTTATTGTACAGGGGTCTTGTGTAGACATGTACAATGCCTTATAAGGTTCAACATACTGTAATATTACTTGCTGGCAGTGGTAGTCATCCTTTAGCAGTGTCATGTTAACCTATGTCAACTCAGGTCCTCGAGACACAGCATTGCAGTCAGTTTAGTATCTGAAACACTTACAACACTATGTCAGCTGTATGGTCATGAATAAGTTATGAATTATATGTTAAGATAATGGATAATGACCATGCAGTAATTTCAGTTTCAGGCCACGCTGCTAAAGTTCTCCATCTTAATATGTCATTTGTTTTCTTAAAATCGTACTTTTCTTAAAACAAGTGGTGCGCACGTCTCCACCCGATTCAAGAACCTTGTTGAAGTCAAGAGACATTTTCCCTATTCCTGGATATTCTCTTATTTCAAGAAATGAATAATTAACTACAGTGGATATTAATGAAAATGGGTGTACTAAGATGGACAATTTTACAGTGTCAGTAAGGTGTTTGCATGTCTACAGGGAATGTGTCAAGTGTTGCCACATTTTGTACAGTACAATACAGCAGAGTGTGTACATAAATATATTTTTGAGATGTCAGATCTCATAGATAGTTTAGTCTATGGGGATGGATTGATTTGACCTGGATGTCTTGTACTTCTTTTTTATTTGATTGTTTTTCTGTTTTTCTTTCAGCTGTTGATTTTCTTCTTAGGATGGATTTTGTAATGCTTGTTCTTGTTCTTTTTGCTGTTTTAAAAGGGAAAGGGCAGGGTTGAGGTTTAGGGGTTATTGTGATTGTCCTCTAGTGATGATTATAAATAAAGAAAGACTATGAAAAACAACAAGTTGTGCAGGTACATAGAACATTCATTACAGCAGAGAACAAAATCAGCCACATTTGTTTGCAGGATTGATTATTGGAGAGGATTGGTAACCCAATCATCTAAACACTTCATGGCCTTGGGACACGCACATTAATGTCTTAGCAGGCAAGATCTGCTTGTTTAGAGTGAAGTTGCCTCAACACTGCATGTCTGTGTGCATTAATCAGTGCCTGCACTCACAAGCCTCAGTGGCCGAACAGATGGTAACTCTGCTGAAGGACAGAAACTCTTAAATCTGCAGGATCTGAAGCACCAGAGTTAATGTAGGTGTTTTTCATCAGTGCCAATGAGCCTCCTATCCACACTTTGGGTTTTGAAAGAAACAAATTATTCAAGTTCAGTCAAAACTCATCAAAGGAAAAACAGTATTGTCAAGGTTTTCATGAAGGCCAAAGTTTTATTACAGTCAACGTGCAACCTGTAGTGAAATGCTTTTCAGTGTACTCCACTTATGACTATGCAAAGAAATGTGACACGCAGCAACTTGTGTACAGGGATGTGAGATAAGAATAGAGGTAGAACAAGATGTAGTGGAGCAAACTAGGATAGACAATAAACAAACCAGTGACAAATTACACGACATAATGGGGTGGAGTATATACAACATTATCCTAAGGACAAAGAAAAGTGTCATGCTGTGTGCTAAGGGTATTAAATAGCCCAGTCTAAAGCAGATATTAGCAGCAGTAGACATTAGATTCATTGTTAAATGAATGGTTCAGCATTTTGGGAAAATGCACTTATTTGGTCTTTTGCTGAGAGATGTCTGTATGACATGTATTAAGCTGCAGCCAGCAGCTGGTTAGCTTAGCTGAGCATAAAGACAGGAAACAGGGGGGAATCAGCTTGGGCTATAACCAATAGTTAGGAGCTTTGTTCAGAAAAGCTGTTTGACAGAAAATATGTCAAACATTTTAGCCTGGCTCTGTCTGAAGGGAACAAAATCTGCTGAACAGCATCTCCAAACTCACAAATCAACATGTTATATCTCATTTGTTAATCTGTATAAAAAACAAAAACAGGGAGTTATATGCATCAAACTATATATTGGATGGGAGCAGTTACCTTAAAGTTGCTATGCAACCAGTGGAGGCTCCAGTACATCACTTTGCCCTGCCAAGAAGTAATTCTGCACATGATAGCCTTCTGTGTTCTGAACCAGCAACTATTTAAGTGAATAACTAATTATTATGCACTTCATACTGTACTCAAATGGTAGTTACAGTAATCATGCAATTACAAATCAAGATTATGAGCTGCCTTTGCTTGCACACATGAGGAATTTGACTCCAGTTCAGTTTACCTGATGCCACCAAGACAGTACACCAAGAACAACAATCATATAGTAACTACAGTATACAGGCAGAATAGTTGTGTGTAAAGTGTACAGTCTACCCTGATTCTAAAGGGGTTTTAAATGTTTTATTTGAATTATTTTGGCTGATCAGACCTCTCCTCTATGGTTGTATACAGATAATGCTTGATTGACATTGGAGTCTTATTTCCTTGAGAAGGAAGTCCAATCAGCCTGTATAACTCATATCTATTTTGATGTGCTGGGCTGATAAAATATTCTTTATCACCTTCTGTCATGGCACAACATTACACTTCTATTTGATTGCTATGAGAATTGTGAGAAGGCAATCTGCTCATCAGCAGCACTGTCTGTCAGTGTCTCTGACATATTAATTCTTTGCAGACATCTTGAAGTTTGAGAAAAAAATATCACCACACTGTCCAATTAGTCTGTTCCGAAGCTTCCAATCAAATCACACAGTCTTCATCAGCAGAATGAGTTTGCTTAGTTGTCATAGAATTGTAGATTCTCAAATTTCTTTTTAGTTTGGTGACATTGTTTGTCTCAGCTGCTGTTTCCAAAGTCAGGGATGAACTTTGAACCTCATCTTAAAGTGTATTAGTGAAGCCAGTCATGTGTCTACTTTTTTTTTTACGAGGACAACACACATTGATCAACATCACTATAAGTCTGCTGGCGTCAGCCAAAAGGATATTTTCCGACTGTTGTCCCTTTGCCAGATGGTAAACCAGCCATTAAACTGATGTTTACACAAGCTAATTATTCAGGATTTTTTCCCATAGAGTTAAAACTGCTCCACAGTTGCAGCTAAAATCTGAAACAAATGTTAACTCTGTAGTCATTTTGGATAGGACAATGCACATCTCATGGGAGAACAACTTCATTCCAGTAAACACACAAAGACTGAGCCAAGCATAAGCAAACTGTTATGGGATATCTCAGTATGTGATGTTGTTTAATTGAATCTTAAATGCTCTCAGAAAATCACACTTGAGTGAGAGCATTTGTACTCAGCTGAGATCCCAGCAGGCTAGATACACTGTCACACTTTACTGCAAAAAAAGTTCAACTGTGAGGGAATTACACATATTTGCTTTCTGATATCAGTCTTGTGTGTGTGTTAAGTACAGAGAGTCCATGTTTTTAGACTACATAAAGAAACAGCTAGCCTTGTTAAATATGTAGACAGATATAAAATGCACAATTTATGGTTTCAAGTATGTTAAGTATTAGAACTACTTCTATAATAAACAGCTGGGTGAAGTGACTATGCACAGCTTTCTTGAGTTTTGTTTTCACAATGAGACTGGTTTGATATAATAGTACAAAAGCTGTAAAGCCTCACATCTTTTTAATAGTCATCAAATACAATGCCCAACTTTTTGATGTTTTCTTTTGCGGGGTTGGGATCCATGTTTCAGTTTGTTGAATGGAAATCTTACAACCTTACCTTTGTTGTCACCACCTACTGATTTAAAATCAAACAATCCAATCACATCCCTGGGTTCATTTTTGTAATCGTGAAATGAAAATCTATGGAATCTATGAAAAATAACATACAGTCCAACCCACCCCCTTCCTCTAATCTTTAAGCTAATTGCTAAGCTAACCATGTCCTGACTTCAGCTACATAATAAACACACTGACATGTGTGAAGTTGATGTATTCTTCACATCTCCCCACCAGAAAGACAGCAATCCACATATTTCTGCTATCCCTTTAGTGTTTAACGCTGAAGCCGACTGTAGCTTGGTTTGGCCTTGACTAAACATTTTATGTCACTAGTGCACCATCAGCAGTTTCAAATCAAGATTGGGTATGTTATGGTATGATATGGCTCTAAATGAAATTCTCATTTTATTGCTTCAGCAGTAAAGAACCCAACACACGGATGCAAGACCATCTTGTTTAACAATTTATTTCAGCATATAAATCTTCCCAAGTATACAAATGTCTACAGTCGACATAATGACTATGTACAGTATATATATATATATATATATATATATATATATAAACAGAGCA